AAGGCAACTTTATTTTCTCCTCTTGCGAGTCGGTTTCGACTTCCTTCCACGGCCCCCTGCCCTTCCGACAGGAGGCTCAAGTGTTGGGAAGATTGGGCGGAGCAAGAAACTCTTATATACAGTGAGGAAAGGCTTCAACTTCGAATCCTGAGGGGGAATTTTCATTTCCGACAGCACAGACAACCCCTCGTTTATGTAGATCCTGGCACTCTTCTGAGTGTGCCAGCGACCTTGTAAAAGGATCCTGTCCAGGTTTTGGTGCTTTGCAAAGAAAAACGTTGCCCCCCCTCGCCGAAGCGAGTAGGGGCGGAATTTAAAGTCTGAGATTCCGAGCGCTTCCAGTGCTTGGTTAAACAATTGGCGCCACTTGGGCGGGGACGGTGTGAGGCTAGTGCTTTCTGCAACAGTCTTCTTCCAGGCTTTGACCAGGTAGACGATGGGCTCCAGGCCCAGCACGACGCTTTCAGCGGCTCCCTGACGTTTGCCTCCTTTGGTATAACCAAGGCTGATGACAGCCTGCAGGCAGGAGGCAGCGCACTCGAGGTGCTTTGCTCGCAGCCCCAGGATTTCTCCTGTCCTCAACATGGCGTAATAGCCTACAACTAATGACAGAGCAAAGGAGTGCCAGCCTTTAAAGATGGCCCAACCGGCCATGGCTTGGACCACATGCTCCGGCAGGGGCGGAGCGCGACTGGGGATCTCATTATGCTGCCACGTGCGGAGTAACCGCCAAGCCGCAGGGAGATGATTACGCAACCCCGGTTGCATGTCTTGCAACCCGGCCAGGGTATCACATGCCAGTCCCCGTCCTTTGCCAATGAACCAGAGATGCTCCAAATAGTCGCAAACCAGCGGGTCCAGCTTTTTCTTCTCCTTGGGCAAGATGAGGTGCTCTGCTTTGAGGAACGTGAGAAAAGCATCCACTGCCAAGTCATATCTCTTTCGAGTAGCTGGTTGCACTGTCAACTGTTTTAAACTCCCCAATTTCTGCCGCATTTTTGCACGCTCTCGCTCTGTTCCGCCCTCCAAGATTCGCTTAGGCATTTCTATACTTCGTCTTCAACTGCCTCCCCCACCGACTAGGCTTGTCGGCAGGGTTGGTGTCCGTGGACACATACGACCAAACGAACTGAGAGCCAGAACAGAGAACAAGAGCGTTAATACGGGCCATGGTGCTCCGTAATCGTCGAGAACTAATCCGTCCTCGGGTCAGAGCATGCAAGCGCACTAGGGAGTCAGTCAAATGCAGCAGCCGCTTTCCCAAATGACCACAATGCTGAATGCGCCACTTTACGGCATTGAGGATAGCACGGAGTTCCAAACTGTTGATGTGTTCTTTACCTCGACGCCATTTCCAGCTAGCCACGACACTCCATTTCCACAGTTTGGCCGGGACAGAGGCCCGGAGGCGGTGGTACTTCACCAGCTGGGAACTCGGTGTCGACAGGAGAATGTCCTCCCCCTTCATGCTGACTAAGTTGCACAACTTGAATGCCAGGTCATACTGTGAACCAGTCCCCTCACCAGCGCGGCGAACCAACCGGAGGGAATCCGAACCCCCTGGGCAGCATAGATCCACAACCTGTTGTGGGCTGAGGGCCGCGCACACACCGAGCAACGACAGCAGCTGGCTCAGAAGCCACCCCACCACCGGTACACTCCAAGAGTTTCCAATCAGAGTGAGTCGAGCGTCGAGGTATCCTTCTTTCTTCCTTTCGGATTTGCACCAACATGCCGCTGTATAGTGGAGAGGAAACCCCATCATCAGCTCCCTCTCAGAGATGGAGGGGACACGGATTGCTTGTTTGCGGTTGTGGACCCCATGGGCGTCTTTATATTGGTACGGCGGGAAGCGATGCCAATCATCCGCCCACCGTTTCAACACATGAGTGGAACACTCACGCATGCCCGCAGGCTTTCGCCCCGGCGTCCACGAAGGCCTGGATGTGGTAAAGGTCGGAAAAGCTTGCTTCGGGTCCACCTTCGTCCACCCGGGCTCCAATAGGTCATCCAGCTGTTGATGGGCCTCCAGCACCCAAGTGTCTATCTGAGCTCCGCGAACTCGGGAGGCACCTTCCCCCTCTTGAAGTTCCCACGTTGTCCAGTATAGCCGAGGCCTATGACACCAGGTCATCCGCCCAGCGTCGATGTGCACCGGCGCCCCGCCGAAGTCATCGCTCATGATGTCTCTGTCAATGGTATCCATAGAACTCACCGACTCCATCAAGGTGTGGACCTGACACCAGCGAAAATTCTGGCGGGCTAACGTCGCGATCCGTGTCACGTGTACAAAGAGTGACGACCTAGCGTCACGAAGTGCCCCCTTGCGGTCAGAGTTTAACCCTGAAACTCCTTGACACGGTGGGCCCGCGCCCACTATCACCAGGTCCGCCTGGGAGAACTTGAGGGACCATGCCTCAACTTCGACTGCAGTGATGGTGGTGACGTCATGGTAGTGCAGGGCTCCTGGATAATGAGACTCAATGACACGGCGCGCATGAGCTTCCTTCTCCACAGATACATAACCCAACACCGATACCCCTTGAAGGTCCATGGCCACTCGGAGCGCGCCAATTCCGTCAAATAACCCTATGACCACTACCTGGAACTGTTCGGCGGGGCGGGGACGTTGGCCACGTAGTCCCCCTCGTAGCCCAGGAATGCCAAGAAGTCTGTAGAGCGTTCAGCACGCTGTGAGCTCCAGGTACGTGGACTAGCCTACCCCAAAGAGGCCAAGCTGAGCAAGTACATGAGCGTGGGAATGAAGCTGGTGGAGCAACGATATGTGACCCAGAGGCAGATGCAGGTGGTGTGCGGTGGCCTGGTCTACTTTTCGATGTTCAGACGGCCGATGTTGGGCCTGCTGAACGCGGTGTGGCGTTTCATCGAGTCTTTCAGCGAGAAGCAGCAGAAGTACCAGCCGCTGCCCAAGGAGTGTCGTTTTGAGATCCTGCGCTTCCTCTGCCTCATGCCCCTAGTCCGGATGAACTTCCGGTGTGATGTCGATCCCATGGTTACCTGCTCGGACGCATCACTTTCCGGGGGCGGGGTGTGTCGGTCGGTTCGTTTCGTACTCCGACCTGAGAGCTAAAATACCCGGTGGGATCGTACCCTCCTTCTCAACCATTCCGGTGGCATCCACGCGCTCCAAGAGGTCATAGTTATCCAAGTAGACCCGCCAGGACGTCAGCGCCGATGGGAAAGGGCGATCCTTCCTGAGCTCCTGGTGACCAAGGTTGACAACCTCCCCCTCACCATTGGACCAGGTTACGGTGCACATTTTGGGCTAGGCTCACGGAGTTAAGGAACCCCATGGGCAGCACCCGCGAGGCCAAGTACACCGTCTTACCCTTGAGGTCTTCCGGGAGGACTTCAGCCGGCACCTCCTTGTTGAAGGCCAAGAACCTGACCCAGCATTGTGGCAACCGCATCGTGTAAAAGAAACACTTCACATCTTCGGATGATACCAAAAGGTTCTGCCCCGGCTGGAGGAAAAAGGGGCTCATCATTCCCCAGGAGGGGAGGGTATCCACGTCCCCTCCCAGGGGCTGACAGAGAGCATTCAATGGCGTCAAATTCATAATAAGGCGGCAGATCTCAGTGCCAGAAGATGTATGTTCGTCCTTAGAAACTCCAAACAGTCCGTTCAGGAGTGGACCACTCCCGGTGTCGAACACTTCTCCACTCTCCAGGAAGCAACACACCCCTGCCTTCACAAGTGGTCGAAGGAGGTGACATACTCTTTGCACCCCAAGGAGCAAACCTCTTCCAGACACACTGCTCCAATCTCCTTTGGAAGGGCTGGTTCAATGTTGTCCCAGCTGATCCATCGAGCCACCTTCACCTCGTCCCCTTTATAATCAATGCTCTTAACCGCAAAGAAGGATCCCCAGTCAATGCCTACTGTTACCAAGCCCATATTGCAGAACCTCTCAACTTCTTCCAACAAGTTGTTAAGCACCTTGATTTGAATCTCAGAAGCCTCGTCCTTTCCAAAAAGCTCCTCACCCCAAAATGAATTCAGTGCAGTAGTCATGCAAACCATCCAGTCGATCTGATTCCGGCGCCTAGAAGGCCAGAGGCTCCCCAAGAAGTCAAAGGAGGTAGGCAAAGGAAAGATGTCTCTATTTCCACCCTTGCCCGTGAACATGCTGCGAAGTGGAACCACCTCCAGAAACCTCTGTACCACCCAGCCTCCCAGTACGCCAATCGATCGACCCTCGAGCTCACTCCCCAAGCGCTCCTTTTTTGCATCGCTCATCACGAGGTCCGATGCCTTCGCTGTACCCACTTCGCAAACAAATGGCGGGGGCATTGGCGGGAAGGTGTTGCACCCATCGGCCTCTAACAAAGGGGCCTCATCCACTGGCTGATCTACAACAGCCTGTGGGGTGTGCGACAGTTGTCCAAACGGGCCACCCAGTGCGATCTCTGCCTCTCCCGGCCGGTCCCTCGCACCGCTGACCCAACCAAAATTCAACGCCGCCTCATAGTCAATCTCTGGTCTCCCGTTCCCAGGAGCCTCTATTTGCTCGCCTGCTCCTCCTTGTTGGACGACTTGCTCTTGCCCTTTCCGCTGTCTTTCCCTTTTGGACGATCTCTGTCTCGCCTGCCGTCGTCTTTGTTCTTGGAGCTTCCTTTTGCATAGCCTTTTGGTCGGCCTTCGGACAGGCCTGCCAACATCTTTGTTCGAGCATCTGTATAGGCCTCTTTTTGTGCTGAGCTCAATTCCTCTTGGGCTGTAAGCATCAAGTTCTCGGTCGGCCCTACTTCCAACTTCTGTGCCACTGACCAGTGGGCGCCGTTCAGGCCGGCTTCCACCGACTTCAATCTCTGCAGCAGTGTATCTAGCGCTCTCGCTGGTCGAGAATTCAGCAACTGGTCCACTGCTATCGACAATGTGAGGATTTCTCGAAGTGCTGGACCATTGGCCTTCTTGACGAGGTGCTGCCGCATATACATGAGTGCAATAGGCTCCAAGGAGCCCCCCTCCGAGGGGCTCCCGCTTCTTGCAGGAGGTTGGAACGCATCATGGCCAATGCTTGATAGGCTAGTGCCCCTGGGCACCGCTGAGCGATCCGCTGCACCTTGGTCTCTCCCTCGAACAACGTGTCCTCGGCCTCTGCTTCCAAATCCGACCCACTCTGATCCGAGGAGCTGTCGCTCCCGTCCGACGACTTCTCCTTGGTCTTTTTGCGAGCCGCCCGTTTGGCCTTCTTCAGAACACGTCGTCTGATCCGCTCTTTCTTGTCCAGGCCGGTCCCCGAATAGAGAGCTTCGTACGACTTTGTTGAGGCCGCACGAGGATACTTGCCAGTCAGTTGTACTGACCGGCTGCTCGAGGTCGATGATCTCCGGCGCTTCTTGGCCTCCTCCTCTTTTGCCTTCTTGCGGCCACGTCCTTCCGTGCTGACACTGCGCCCGGACTCTTTCTTCTTTTTCTTTGATCTCTTGGACTTCTTCTTGTCCTTGTCCTTCTTCCTTCTTTTGCTCGGGCTCCTCTCGGTCTTCTTGGCCTTGTCGTCCTTCTTCTCGACAACTCCCTCTCTCCCGGGGTCGACAGGAGCGAGGGCTTCGCCCCGTGATCTGAGGGCTCCTAACTCGTCGTCGGCGGCCACAACCACCAAATTCCTGGCCCACCCCTCCTCCGGGTGGGCCAAGCCTAGCTTCCTCATCTTGAAGGCGTGGAGGAGGTCCTCGGCCATGCGTTCGGCTGTGCAATCGCTCGGGCAGCGGTGGACCCTCACCAATTGCGAGGGGCTTCCAGTCTGGTGCTTCAGCAACTCCTCGTTGGTGGTGCCCGTCAACTTGAGACGGAAGTGCGCCGCATCCAGTTGTACATCGATCGACTGGAGCTGTCCTGCTGCCTTGCAAGGAGACCCGAAGTAACTTCCATCGGTCACCTCTATCATTGTCCCAACCCCAACGTGCTCGATTGGGATTTCCGACACCTTGATCTCCTCGCCGGCCGTCCAGCGTCACTCGCCCTCTGTCCGCTCGCCTCGGCCTCACCACCATGGCCTTGGCTTTCGCCTTGCCCTTTGCTGCTGGTCGTGCTTTTGGCGCCATCGGGCTCAGTAGGGGGCACGAAAAGGCCACGTCCTTCCTCGCTCACGATGCTTTGCACCCTTCGTTCCACGCTTCTTTTGACCTGACGGTCGACTGCTCGAACCGGGTCCTTGTCGTCCACGATAGTCTCGATACCTGCCACGTTCGTTTCCTCTTCCAGGCGGATGGTCAGGAGACCTGGGCCGCTTGGGCGCCGGAGGAGGCGGTGGTAGATGTTCGTAATGACGGGCGACACTCCCTCTGGGAACTGGGACTAACCCAACTGTTGATGGGGCTTTGATTGCCAGATGGTCCAGGACTCGAGCCGCAATGGCTTCGTCCCTCGACGGAAGGCTCTCCTTCTTATCCTCTGCAATCTGTGCCTCTCTCTCTCTTGCCTTCTTCTCCTTCTTCTCAAGTCGCCTCTTTGATGGCTTCTGATCTGGATGCTTCTTCTTCCTCTTCTTCTTCTTTTCCTCTTTCTTCTCACCCTGTGTGTCCTCCTCTTTGTCCACTACTTCACTGACTCCTGGTGTCTCGTTGGCGTTCTCGTCCTTCTCGACGGCCTCTGTCTTGACAACCGGTGCCTCGGGTCCACCTTCAACCTCAGGAGCCGATGGCTTCCCGCTCAAGTCCTTAGACTTGTCTTCTGTAGGGTTCGCTTCGGCTTTCTCCTTCTCGAGGATAGGTGAGGCAATCTCAACCAGGTCCGTGAGCTCCCCAACGCAAGTCCTAAGAGCAGCTACTGCTCTCGCCTCCTGTGAACGGAGTAGAAACCCTCCACAGAAGAAGTCACGGATCCGTCGAACGGACCTGCAACCACGGCAAAGGTCGTCCTCCGCGGGCTTGTCGAACAGATGGCACCCACGGCACCGGTCCATCCAAGCTTAAGCCCAAACACTACGGTTCCAACATACGGAACAAACATCTTAACACCCGGGGACGTGGGTTCATATTACATACAAGTAGTGTTGTTTAGGATATACGGCTTGAAACAAGTGCATCCACTGGTTTCTCAAACATGTCCAAATCTCAGCATTCAAGCATGTATACATCCAATGTCTGTACATTTTATTTAGCAGCAGTATCACACAGTACCCACTGCCTTCTCCTCTTGTTCAAAAGCACTTATGGTCTCCTGGCAAGTGATTGCAATTGATTGAAACATTGTGGCAAAGGAGTATCAAGACGCTTGCGAGATGCCTCGAAGGCGGACTTTGCACCATCAACATCACCTTGCCTATCATCTCTTCAGTAGGCTTGCTCACTGTAGAAGTAATTGATGCGTGCTCTGTGCTTGCCACATCTGGTAGACGTCCATCATCTATGAGTGGCTGGGAGTTTCTTGGTGTCCCACTTTTCCTTGACGCTGGCCAACTTCAGCAGGAGCTGCACAAAGAGAATGAGTGATTGAATTTGTGTCTGCTCAATTTGGCTGGGGTCTGCAGCGTTCCTAAACAACATCACTTACACTTACACAATCTATATAGTGGAAAGTCTCTGTGGATACTGCTTGCCTTGGCAGCTACATCCACCTTGCCAGCCAATCTAAAGCATCGAACTGCCTGTCCAGCACCATGTGGCCAGTTACATCGTCAAACAAAGGCCAGTTACACCTGGCCAGAAGCCTCCACACAGCTAGACACAAGTAGCACCTTCTCCCAGTGCATCATCGCAGCGCTGGGACCTCCCGGGCCGCTACCATCGCAAATGCCAGCTGCGCTTTCATACCTCGATTTCAAATCCTACAAGGGCAAGGAAGGGAGGGGGAGGGAATCGAATCAATCTGAATGTGTCTGATGGCAAAAAGGGAACACCTGTAGGAAAAAATGATGAGTTTGATCTAGCGTGGGTACTTGGATTCCAAGTTTGTTGAGCTTGAGAAGTCTTAGACATGTCAATCAGTCATATTGCAGACTCGTTGCGCCCGGCCAGCGCTGAAAAGATCATGAAGGAGCTCCTTCCATCTGTCATTGAACCAAGAAGCAGGTGATTTACTTAATTTAACTGCTGAGAGGCTAGTCAAGTTTGAGACAAGTGTCTGAGTCCTTCATCTCACCTGTCTTGACCCAAGCATCAGCCTAAGGTCACAAAAGATCAGGCTGTTCAATCGTCGCTGTTTCCATTTTCGAAGCCGGAGCTTGGCTTGCTGTTGCCAGTCGCCTCTTGAAGATTAAACAATTGCTTTCCAGGCTTCCCAACGCATTCTTGCAGAAGCCCTGCAGCCCGGAATTGGGTGGCAGCCTTAAACGAGCTTCAGCTTGTTTTCTAATGAATCATGCATGAAGCATTGTGGGCCTGCGAGTACTCCATGGACGCCGTCAAGTGGTCTGGACCTTCCCCGGCAGTGAATGCGTGAAGAGACTATGTAGAATCTCTGAGATGCTGGCTAAACTTCAAAGACATCCATGATGGTTTCAACGCCTCAGCAAGACATAGCAAGACTATTCAACAAGCTGCGACCATAATGTTCTGCACCTGCTCAGCTTTAGCCATGTGCTCTTTTGCTGCTACAGCCTGAGGTTTGAGCAGCGATGCAATATGCACTATACACTTACCACTCAAACTTACAGGAACACGGCAGCAAAACCTTGGGCGCAAGCCATATCTGCAATGTGAGGCACAGACAGCAATGGTTTGCAAGTTGTTGTAACAAAACCGGCGTTGCATTGTTTCAGAGATTGGTCTTGCCGAGATTGGTCTCACAGTATTCAAGTTGGTTGAACAAAAATACGAGCAAACTGTTGACAAAAACACGTGCTCTTTCTTGCCATGCGTTGTATAAAGGACTACTACTGTACAAGAAAGTGTGTGCATGAAATTTGCCCTCATGTCTGCTTAGCACGATCCAGAGCTGAACCCCAAAGCCAGTGCAATGTTTGTTGTTAGGGAAGGTCCATTCAGAGATTCACACTTTTTCCTCTCAGCGGAATGGAAAATCGCCGTTCTCCAGGCTGACCAGTCTAGACATTCTGAACGGACGCGCAGACCTTGCCATCTTCGTCGGTATCCACAAAGACCTGAGATATCTCACGATCCCACGTATGACAGTGTTCGTTAACAAGTAGGAGATGGTAGGCCATCGCTTCTAGGTTGGAGGCCATCGCTATTAGGTTAGAGGCCATCGCTAGTAAGTTGGAGGTCGTTGCTCCTAGTCCTTATCCTTTGCTTTCCAGGGCGCTTTCTCAACTGCTCCTCCCTGTGATGCCTGGCAGAATCTAGGTCTCAGAATCTCCGCCCTGGACACTGCTAGCTGCCAGGGGCTGTTCTTACTAGGCAAAGCTCCTGCATTAAGAGGGACTGCGATACCCTGCATGAGCTTCATTGAAAAGAGGCCCAGGGTTCTTCCCGGGGTTGGCAAAAAAAATGCAACATTTCAGACTTTGTAAGTGTTATCTGTTTCTGTCTGTTTCTTGTTGACCTTTGTGGTACCCGATTCGAGCCGAGCACTTCGCTTGCATTGCAGTGTCTCACACGAGGGTAGAGCCTGGTGCTTGAGGATGGCATAGGCAATCGGATCTTCCAGGAATTCCCGGAGAATGCGTCGCAACGCACGTGCACCCACACCAGCGTGTTCCTTATCTTCCTCATTGCCTCAGCTCTTCGGACAACTCAACCGGACGGACCTCAAGTGTTTGATACATTGACTGTGGTGAAAGAATCTCAGAATCTGAAAGAAGGGCTCGAAGACAAGCGAGCAAAAGATTGAGACCCGTTTCAATGCCAAAGAGAAATAACCATACAATCTAAGATGCGAAGCATGTCGAAGACCATCTGTCTCCAGGTTTCCGTGACGTGCAAAACAGCTCCGTGTGTTTCTCGCAGCCGCGATGAGAAGTCCGCAACAAGGCCATCAAGCACCTTTCGCCAAAACTCCGAACGACTTTAGAATGAGTAGCGCAAGCATGCGCATGTGTTGCTTTGATCCTACCTGTAGTATAAGTATTATGACTGGTGAAAGTGAGCACATGTCATGATATCTCATTGCTTCAAATTTGTGTGCTTCCACTTTGCACTTTGCAGGCTAGGGTTCCCAACCTCTTGCACCACACTGGAATTCAAAGGCCTACAAGGGCAGCCAAGGAGACAAAGGAGAGGGTTCTGATGGCTTCCATATTATACAGAAAGGTCCTAGCCTGATTAGCTTGAGTTTGCCCAGTGCATATGAAAGCTATTCGAGATCTATCAAAAGCAGTCTAAGAGAAGATTGAGCGTACCCGAATTCCCATATACAATTTCAGTTGCAACTCTTTGGGCTATGCACAAACCAAGAACAGTGACATGACAGAATTCTTTGTAGCCTGGTTGTTGGACGTCTGAATTTTGGAGTATGATGAGTATGGAAATGTATGGGGTCGTAACATGTAGCACTAGGAGCGATCGGACGCTCGCTACGTTCGGGGCTCCTGGCATCGCTACGAACGGAGCGATCGGTCGACTCCGCTATCTTCCACACCTTAGGTGCACGGAGCCATCAAGGCGATCGGCTAAAGCCCTCGGCAGACCATTCGGCCCAGCCGGGTCGTTGGAAGTGAGCAACACAACCTCAGTGACAAGCAAGACTCTGCGAAACTTTGGGGAGACTCGTACTATGCAAAGCCTTCTAACACGTGAATGAGCTAAATCAGAATGAGCTAAATCCACAATCCATCTGACCTTCCAAGAACAACACGCCTTGACAAGACTAGGACATTGACGGTATGGCGGAAATCAGCACGTCCAGGTCCGGGACCCAGCAGGCTCAAAGATGCTTCCTTCGCACTTCTAAATCTGCTTGTTTTGAACGGTCTTTGACTCTTTGACGGATGTCTATTTTTTGTGCCTCGATGACTTCCAGCAGCAAACTGAGAAAGTCGGGATCAGCTTTGTCCGCTTCATCAATGAGCACCTTGGCGTCAAATATGCAAACTATATTAATTAGACCTTTCTTCCTTTTCTTTTATGTTTCTAATAGCGATGGCCTCCAACCTGCTAACGATGGCCTGCAACCTATATAACAGCGATGGCCTCCGACCTAATTAATAGCGGTGGCCTCCAATGGACCAATTTGACTTCGATGTCAAGGCACCACAGAGTGTGGCCGTCTCCGCACAGCTGCTGCAAGCGCGCTGCCTGCTTGCTGTGCACTGCTGGCACTGGCGCAGTCCTCAAAAATTGCTCAACTGCTAGAAACGACATGAAACGACTGTAAGAAAGTGCTAGGCTCCGATACTAAAAGAACAAGTTGCACTCTCTTCCAAGTAGACTTTAAAAAAAAACATGGTTAGTCCAAGACTCCACTCGGACAAGAGCACGACGAGAGCCGAGCCACGTCTCTGCAAGTGCAGTTGCAAGTGATGTCTTTCCAACACCTCCAAGAACCAATCAGCTTTTGGGTTTAGGGCAGCAGCGGGAGCTTCCTTGAAGAAGCTCACGTTCCTCTAGTAGCTACTTAATCTACTACTGACCCCTTACGTCTTCTCTAGCTACTGCTTAGCTACCAATAGCTACTAGCCAACCTATTCCCCCCTAATTACTTCCCCCCCTGCCTGGAGGGCCGTAGAGAAGCAAAGATGCAATGGGCCGGTGTGTCTCTTGCAAGCCAGCTTTCGCCCGAGCCACTGCTGTCACCACCATCTGCACCGCAGCCCTTTGCCCGCAAACCCGCTTGTGCAAGGTTTCCTCTCGGAGATCGCTTCAAAATCAAGCTACAGCAGCTACGAGGTGGTCAGAGTAGAAGCAACGCTTAACTGTTTCAATTCTTACAGCTTTGCATTACATGCATTGGTTCGCTGAACATACAATAGAATCATATAGAATCAGAATCAACCCACACTGCGCAATGGCTTCCTATCAACTGTACTAGAGGATGGTTGATGAATGCCTTCGGACATGAAATCACATGAAACACTGGCCTCAAGATCCACGATCCCTCGTGCTTCAGCTGCAGACACAGAGCCAGGACGAAGGCCAATAGTCTCTTCAAGCACTAAAGCCACATCCGCAGTGGTCACTTCTGCCTGTGCAGCGGAGAATCTAAGAATATCTTATGATAGCCTTGTACATCATTCACCAATCGATCTGCGGAAATTATGCAGAATGTCCATCGGACATCACACTTCTGTGTCTTTCCCTAATAAAATGCTACCAGCATCTACCAGCTCACTATCCGTCAATCACAGCCCTTTTGTTTTATGTTTCGTGTGGCTTGGCTCTTGACCTTCGAGCTGCCGGTCATCCTGCTCTTGGCAAGCACAGCGGCACGGTCTGCAATATCGATAGCCTCACATCTGTATTCTCCCTGGTTCTAGCTGACAAGAAATGCAATTGAATGATCCCCTCAAAAGTAAGGACTAAAGCACTTTGGGGAAAGGTCCTACTTTGGTTGAGCGGGTTTCTGCAAATGTTATCTGTTTCACTGCGGGACCTTGTCAGGAAGCTTTCGTTCCGGCAAGTGCCGGGCTGCCCAAGTCGCAGCTGCAGCCAGGGCATCATTTTGAAACAAGACTCCATGATGTCTTTCCTGAGAAGTCAAAATCATGTTTCATTCGGTGCCTGAACAACAGCACTACAAGCACGTACAAGCACTATGTACTTGTGGCTAAATGGAGACATGACATAGTTGGCAAAAATGCTTCAAACGCTTGAGATCTCAAAACCCAGCATCGTATTCTCTACGTAGCCCTTCCAAGACCTGGATGGCCTCTTCCGCTGTGGGCTCCTCCACTTCCACAACTTCAAATCGCCGGTCAAGGGCAGCATCGCGAGCAAAGTATGTTGAGTATTCCTCCACAGTGGTTGCTGCTATGCACTGCAACCCTCCTCTAGCCAGTGCTGGCTTCAGCATATCTGAAGCATCCAAAGAGCTGGAGCTGGTTGATCCAGCTCCTACTATTGTGTGAGCTTCATCTATGAATAAGATGCTCTTTTCAGCATCAATCTCCTGAAGTACACAAGCTAGCCGCTCCTCAAAGTCTCCACGCAATCGCGTCCCAGCAGTAAGTTGAGCTACGTCCAAGCTTCGAAGCCTCCTTCCCCTCAGCCACCACGGCACTTCTGCACGTACAATACGCTGTGCCAAGGCTTCCACCAAGGCAGTCTTTCCCACTCCTGGATCTCCAACAAGAAGTACATTGGGCTTCTGCCGCCGGCCAAGAGTGCGTTCAATTCGATCAATCAACGCCTCTCGCCCACAAAATGGGTCCAGTGAGCCTTCTTCCGCTAAGGTCGTCAGGTCCGGAGCAAAGCGGTCAAGGAGTGAAGCCTCTTCGATTCCCTGCCCCTTCGAGCCTCCTCGTGGCGATCCAACTCTGCCAGCAGCTACGGCGTACATTGAATGATCAACACTTGCGTCTCCTTCGCCCTCGTTGACGATTTGCATTATTGCCTTCCGCAAAGCTGCCCTTCGAGGGTTTGAAGCAGAGCCACCAGACCCAGAATCAAATTTCCCCACCTTGATTTGCGCAAATCACCGGGATTTTAAATATACTTAAGGCATTACATGCCATGCATGACATGTATTTTTATAAGTTCTCAAAAGTATGCGACTATGTAGAAGTCGCACTGTAGGCAGGTTCAGCAAGGTAATTATGGTGTTGAGTTCTTTAATTTCTCTCATCGTTGCCAGATAAGTAGCAGTTCGATCGAAGCCTTCTTGATCGAAGGCCAGTAGCAGTTTTCCAGCAGCATGGCTTCCGTTGCTCAGAAGGCCTCTGCAATGGAAAGCCAAGCTAGTATATAAGTAAATCCATTTAAATCCTGCATACGTCAGGGCTTGCTTAGCTTTAGCACTTGAGATGCTTGAAGCATTATCCACTTGGTTTTTCCTGCCACCGTTTTTGTTGAGGATTGTTGAGGACTTGAAGATCCAAGTGAAACAAAGTCATTAGGTGCGTAGCTGTGGGTGCGACACAGGTGGAATGTGCACCCCTTGTTTAGCACCCCAAGAAGCAAAACAAAAAAATAACATGTTGCTAAAGAGGTGACTCCAGCTAGCAACAAGCACTGAAGCTCTGGTGGTGTTGCGATATGTTGTGGGTTCAGAAGCACTTGTTTTCGATTCCTGCTGCAAACAAGCAACCAAGCATGATGTGTTCTGTCCCAAGCATTCTGGTTCCATCTTGAGATGGCAACCACCTCAACATGCCTCGCAGCTGGATGCAAATTCGATGAAATTCGTATTGTGATGGTAGTTTGCTGGATCAGCCGTCCAGCCTGATGCACGTCGAAGGTAAAATTGAACCTCCGTGTCAAGAGGTGGCGAAAGAGCTTCTCCCGCAGGTGGCTGACCCTCCGGTGGGTTGCACCTGGGCTGGGTGTCAACTGCATCAATCATTGAATCAATCAAGCAGTTATGCCCCGCACTGTGACGTGCGCAGAACAATAAACAATTCTTCAATGTGAAGACACAATACAAATTCCATGTCATTCAAAGCTGTAAGCCGTAAGCGCCAAACGGTCTCGAAGAGCGTAGCTTTTCTTGGAGGCCTTCTGCTGTCACACCCACAGATTGAAGTGCTCGTGAGACCGAACTCTGCGAAACGCTCGCCATGCCCACGAGCAAATGATCGCTGCCAATGGTGTTACCCTTGTTGGCCAAATGCCCCATGGAATACGCCACCTGAAAGGCCGCCTCTAAACCTCAACTCTTCGAAGCAATTCCGGTGAAACTCGGAGAAACAATTCCGCCTTAAAGTGCTTGGAATCCGGAATTCTAAACCGAACATCAACTGCTCTCAAAGCATGGCCAGGCTTGGCCCAATTGGGGAGGCAATGCGAGGGTCCAATTAGGGTCGTCAAGAATCTTGTGGAAGCAGAAGCTTTCTTGAAGAAGCCCCGCCAAAAGCCATTTCTAGATTCCCAAGGGCTGTTGAGGGTTGCTGCTATTCAGCCCCTTTGTGCGGATGTTCTGTTGCTTGCTTTGATATGCCTTGAACCCCTTGATTGCCAAACGATTTCAACGTTGCAGTTTGATCGCTTTGTGCCAGGACACTCTCCTTGACAGCCAAGCTAAACTTCTCTGTGGCGGTTGCAGCCCTCAAGCTCACATGCTTTCGCAGGTTGCCAGAGTACAGCAAGCACGCTGCAATTGCCACTTTAGGCAAAGTTTGAGTTTCTCTCCTAGGGCAGCAACGAGAACGCTACTAGTAACAAAGGGCATCGCTACGAACGGAGCAAGGACGTTACTAGGGGCGCTCCTGGCCTTACTACTAGGAACAAGAGGATGCTATTAAACCATGCTCAACGCTTGATTGGTCACAACTCGACTCAACACGACATTGAATCACACCATCGTTCTGCCTCACGTATGGACATGGCCGTGGTATTTGGTGGCTGCAGAACGGAGGAAAGGAGCCATGGGTAGAAAGAGGCACTTGCATACTTCAGAGCATCCTGTGGAAGTCGTCAATCCGTGTGCCGCAACTAGTACAAGTAGGTAGTGGATGAAAGCGGTCATGAAAAAGCAAGTTGTATAATGCCTTCATTCAACACGTCAAGAATTTGAGGATATTTGAGCCAATGTTGCAATTCAAGAGGTCTTGCCTGAAGCACACAACAAACTGAGTCACTCTGCGAAAGGGAGGCACCATGTATCTCAAGTCAAAGAATTGATGCTGGTTCGAGGTCGAGTAGCAGTCACCTGCGATGTCAAGAAACTTTGGGGATTGAGGTCATGTAGACTGGACATGACCGTTGGCCTGCTCTCAGGGAGGATCCCAATGCTCCTCCACGCCTGAAGAGCAAGGCTTCGACAAATCGTCTTGACTTCACTATGAGGCGGCGACCCAACAAGGTACAGATTGTCAATGCCGGGAGGAGCCTTGACAAATCAGTTGCGAAGACATGCACAGCACCCAGTCTCAAGATGTCGCTCTGAAGGCTCTGGCACTTTCAGGCCGGCAAAAGCTTTCGCACCTGGTGGGAAGTCGAAGTGTTTGACTTTTTGGGGCCAGCTAGCTCTTCCCTCTCCCTACTTATTAAGTAGAGACTGCCTACTTAATTAAGGAACTGAGGTAGCTAGTAGCTACAGGACGCTACATATGGACGCCGGATAGCTCACGCACTAATCATTTGGTTCCTAGATTTTTGGAGAAACTTAACCTAGCTAGAGGTAGCTAGTAGAAACAACCGGTAGCTATCGGTTGAACGACTTTCTTTTTGCCCGTAGGGGTCCCCCTGCCTCCTTACTTAATCGAGTAGGCTTCTACTTAATCAAGTTAGGGCGAAGTAAGCTTCTAGCAATACTTGAGAACTCACGCTAATGATTTGGTTCCCAGATTTCTTGGAACACTTTAGCTCACCAGGTGCAACCTTTTGTATGTTAGTGAGTTTTTTTCCAACTGACCTACAGTAACCCAATTTAGAGTGAATGACCAAAGCATCTGATGCTAGCTGCTAGATTCCGGCAGCCCGTGGGCAGAACCTGATTGCCTCAAGTGTCTACCTGATACCAAGGCAACTGGAAGCATTAGCAAGGCGCACGCTTTCCACAGCACACACGACTGCCCACAACAACCCTGGACGCATGATCAATACTCAATACCAACTTGTCAGTCTTCCAACTACTTTCTGCAGCCACACTAGCTGACCCGCCTGCCATGATTCTTTCTATGTTCATGTGACTTCTTGTCCTTGGTCAAATGCTTTCGGGCAGCTTGGGTGGCAAAATCTCTCTCGAGGCGTGCCATAATAGCTCCGATTTCTTTGAGCGTGCCAGTCTTTGCCATGCTGTAGAACTTAGCTTCAACCAGATTCAAGCACACGCATCAATGAATGTTTATGTGTCTCGCTTCGTCTTTGCCTTGCATTCAATAGCTTGGCACCGCACAGACAGCCCAGGCCTTGATTTGTTCAACTCTTCTGCACTGAAGGGCCGCCAGGACTCAGGAAAGCTGCAAGCACCAAGCAAGAAGAGGAACCGTTACAATAAGCTTCCAAACAAAATCTTGGAACCAAATGAATAGTGCGAGCGCTTCTTAGAGCGGCAGGGGGAGCTTCCTTGAAAAAGCGTGAGCTATCCTGCGTCCAGTTGCTACTTAAGCGCGGCCTCCCCTCCCCATCCTCCCCCATAAAAGAAAAAATGAAACCGTTCACAACGAGATTACTCTGTGCTTACCAGCTATCTTTCTACCAGTAGGAGGTAGCTACTAGCTACAAGAAGTAAGAGGTGGCTATCTTATTACCAGCCTCCGAAAATGAAAAGAAAGCCAGTTTGTGCCAAAAGGCATCTCCATGCAAGGTCTCACGACCAAAGGATGGTGGCTGCACAGATGGAGGCTCCTGCACAGATGGAGGCTCGCCCTGAGAATGCTTTCAAAAACAAGATGGAGCCCACGAACCCGAATGCAAACACGTTCGAAAAGCTACATATGTCCAAATAACACTCTTGTAGGACACTCTTGTGGGACACTCTTCTGGGACACTCTTGTAGGATACTCTTGTGGGTCACTCTTGTAGGACACTCTTGTGGAACACTCTTACAGGACACTCTTGTAGGACACTCCTGAAAGGCACTCTTGTAGGACACTCTTGTGGGACACTCTTGTAGGACACTCTCGTGGGACACTCTTGTAGGACACTCTTGTCGGGCACTCTTATGGGACACTCTCTTGTGAGA